AAGGCATGTTGAACAAAGGATCACGTATCAGAAGCGACCGATTGTACTGCTGCTGGACTAGGCCTCGGAATCGCACACCAGCTAAATGCTGCCATGTGCAGACGAGTCATAAAAATTAAACGTTTGTCAAGTCCTAGTGCGTAGTCGGGTGTACTGTATAGCATAGCATGCCCAAATTTCCCTCGAAATTACCCAGGACAGACTGAACGCATGCTGGATTCGTGCCTACACGAACATAAGCTGACTGTATGATGGGGTGACGCAGTATCACACTTGGCTGCCCACAAATCCGAGGTGGGCCATGAATAGGAAGCTCAAAGCTGTTTGCCTATCTTTCCTTCAGTAAAACTGAACTGAACTGAAACACTAGTAAGATTGTTGAGGAGTATTGTTCACAGCCAGATCGATCGCCCTACTGTACATTCCTTTAGACCTTGCCTGTACACTGGCAATTAATAAATATCTTCCATTTGCGTTTGAATTAGAACCCAACCGCCTTGCCTAGCTTGTTTTTAAATCTACTGGTGACTTGTTGAAGCTGCCTTGTACCGATATAGAATCCCTATCAGGGACGGTTTGGCTGTAGGGCTCATGACTATCGTACACATGGAGGACAGGATTCGTTTTCGCACTCATTCTCCCTTTATTAGTTCTATTAATAGGCAGCTAACAAGAGGGCAAAACTGTCTTAGAGGGCCATCCAAATATATATTCCTCCGCCCAACTGTCTTACGGATTTGGTCATCAGCCGTTTAATTCTTGGTTAATAAGTATGAATGAATATAAGATTGTGTTGAAAGTGATCATGAAGCAATAAATAAAAGACGCTCATAGTTGTTTTAGTGAGCGAAATACAATCAATTTCACCAACATAAATTCCTGTTGCTCAGATAAATGATGCCTTTGATGGAAATTCAACCCTATATTGGAGGAAAAGAAACGACCCAAGAAGAAAACAACCCATAGAAGGGGCATGGCCGTTCCTATACTGGTGCACTTTTAGCTACAAGGTCAACGAAGCAAAGAAATGTTATCTCAGCAAAAAATCGGCCGAGGTCGGTCAATGTTTTGTCGGCGATATAAGTCGACTGCATTTTCTCTAATCATGAGCGTTCATGGTACAGATAATGAAAATTGTGTCAGTAGCTGCCATTTGCAATTTCGATTTTTGGGTATGAATAGGGAGCTCAAGGGCGAAGGGGCATTCCAAACTCTGTAGTAATTAAGGAGTGTAGGTCGACTAGTACACTGCCAAAAACTGCCTCTGCGATTAGCTCACAAGTGGCTTTTTGCCAAAATAAATACGGATCACTGGGTAGTACTTCAGATGAAGGAAATATAA